TGTTTCTAAAACAAACAAAAAATAAGACGAAGAAGAAAAAAAAATCTCCAAATAGCTCTGAATTAGTAGTACCTTAAACAGTGATTTTTATTTCAATACCAGTAGCTAAGTAACAGGCGATTCAAAGCAGGTGAAAAAGAGAGCTTTAGAAGACTCTGCATTTAATTCTGTAATTGCAGGTTGCCCATTTGAGCTCTGAATTTTCCATGCTGTAATTTGTCTATAGGTTTAAAAATGTGCACAAGAGTGGGCCATAGTATGTAACGAGCTGAATTCCCAGAAAACCTGGCATGCCACTGAACTTTTCCATAGTTTTCCACTGGAGTTCCTGCCTTAAGTGGGTAAGTTCCCCATTGCACCAACCTTGTGAAGACGTATCTTCCAGTGCCCTTCGCATGTTCCCACAAACCTATGGACCACCTGAGGCTGACCTGAATCCATGCCTCCCTTTAAGTCCAGGGCCCACAAAGACATGCCTTCTGGGGTCCTTGGATGGAGGGAACTGGGAAGGCCCCCTGTAAATGTGGGGCTAACAGATTCCTTGCAAGAACAATGATAATGATGTTCTTGCACTTCACATAGGGAAAGGGACAGAATGTACAATGTTAACTGGAAAAAAATCCTCACGATTTATACATTTGAAAAAGGAAAGGATACTTTCTTTCTTGTATAAAGTGGTGTGTCTGACCTCCCATCCCATCATGGCTGGGAACTAAGATTTTAAAGTTTTCTGGGGTCCCCTTGGCCAAGTGGGGGTTCTGTTTAGTCAGTGGGGGACTTAGGACTTTATTTTCAGTTTACAACAGAATTGGGGGTACTCAGCCAGGGAAAGTTATGCAGGGCTTTCCAGAGCTGCTGAGCCCAGGCTGAGTCCCAAAGAAGAGTAAGGACTTTTCTTGTCAGTTGAGAAGGGGAGTGGGTACTAACTGGGAGAAGAGCATAAGGCAAGACTCAGAGGGGATTTTAAGGATGTGTAAATGGGTTTGCACGGCTGATAAAAGTGCCATGGAAACACGGAAGAGGTCAGAGGGATGGGGTAGGGAAGGGGTGCAGGATGTAGGACCTTGCTGTGGATGGGTTCCTAGGGCTGGTGGTGCAGAGACAGTGTCAGGAGGAACAGCAAGGAGGCTGCTGCAGGGCAGCTGAGAGCTGGTGAGGAGGCCTGGGCTGAGGCTGTGGCCGTGGGATGGAGAAGACGACTGAATTTGAGGGATGTTGAAGAGCACAGGAAACTGTCCTGCCCATCTGCCCTTTTTTCTGTTGGTTCTCAAGAGACCCTTCCCAGAATGTGCCATACCTCAGGTAATGCTGTTGCTGTTGGAAAGGTGATAATAATAATAATAAAGACCTGGGTGTATTTTTTTGTTGTTATTTAGAGATAAGGTCTTGCTCGGTTGCCCATGCTGGAGTGCAGTGGTTCAATCACAGCTCACTGCAGCCTTGAACTTCTGGACTCAAGCGATTCTTCCACTTTAGCCTCTAAAGTAGCTGGGACTACAAGCATGCGCCACCATGCCCAGCTAATTAAAAAAAAATTTTTTTTGTAGAAATGGAGTCTTGCTATGTTGCCCAGGCTGTTCTCCAACTCCTGGGCTCAAGAAATCCTCCCACCTCAGCCTCCCAAAGTGCTGGGATTACAGATGTGAGCCACTGCTCCTGGCCCCTCAGTGTATTCTGAGGCCTGGACTCTAACTGCAGAAAGAAACTAATGCATTTTAGTTAAATGGTTCAGGAGGGTTGGCAGTGAGTTTGGGTCCCATGTAGCAAATACATATTGATTCTTACAAGAGGGACAGGCGCTGGGGACACAGTGATGACTAACACATAGCCCTAGCCATTGAGGCCCAATGACCCAGTAGGGGAGACAGACAAGGAAACAGGCAGTTCTGATAAGAGATTGGTTTTTAAACAAGTGTTCTAGGCAGCCAGCAGGGGAATTTATTCCCTCTGCCTAAGGAAACTATGGGCAGAGAAAGCAACATCTGAATTTACTGGAAACACGTGGGGAAGACATTCTCCACCCAGCTTAGAAAAAGGACGAAAAAATTGTGCAACCGTGTATTTACCCAACATAAGAAGTCTGGTGGTTAGGGAGAAGGTGGACTCACTCATGCAAGCAATCAGAATGAACCAGCCCCAAGCTATATTTTTATTGTGTTTATGAAACCATAAACAGCAAAATAATATTTATAAGACATGTTGAAAATACAAAGAATAACAACACAGCAAACACTTGTGAAATTAACGTGGGTGGTGGATGTATGAGCACTTGCTGTCAGGATATTAATATGATCTGTGAATCTTTCTGTGTTCCTATGATGTCATTTCCCTTTCCTTCCCCCTCAGAGCCAACAACTTAAAATTTATTCTTGTCAGTTCTTTGCATTGCGTTACAGTTTAGCCACATATGTGTTCATCCCTGAACAATATATTTAACATACTTATTTGACATTCTTGTTTTTCTGTCCTTGGAAATCTTAGCTGTGTGGGTTTTGTTGCATTCTCTGTCATTTCAGTTGACTCTCACTTATCAGGCCTTGCTTCCCTTTTATTTTGTAATTTTTGACTGTGAGCTCAGGTGCCTTAAAACTTTATCCTGTGGGAATTCTTTGAGACCTCAAAGGTAGATTCCTCCAGAAAGACTTCATTTCTGCCAAGTTTCTGGAGACACAACTCACACAGGACCTCTTTAAACCAGATTTGCAGCTTGAGGCTTTTCAGATCGTGTATGTATTGTGCACTGAAGCTGAAAACTCACTGGAGAGCTAGCTCAAGGTAAGACGAGTAGGGAGTAACACCCTACTTTCCAGATGCTGAGTCTCCTCCACGTGTGCCCTGTGAGGTCCAGCCAGCTAGGACACGCCAGTCCCCAGCCCAGTCCAAGAAAGACTTTCTGGGCCATACGTCAGGGGCCTTGAGCTCCACTTCTTTTATTCTCCACTTCTTTGTTCCAGAAGTCAGATGAGCAGATCCTCAATGGGAATCCTGCCCCTACTCTTTCTTTTCCTTTGTGAGACAGGATCTTGCTCTGTCACCCAGGCTGGAGTGCAGTGGCGCAATCTCAGCTCACTGCAATCTCTGCCTTCCGAGCTCAAGGGATCTTCCCATCTCAGCTTCCTAAGTAGCTGGGATTACAGGTGCACACCACTGCTCCCCTACTTTTATTGCTGTGTGTCCTCAGCAGGTCGCTGAGCCACTCTGAATGCCTTGTTTTCCTCTGTAGCATGGGAAAATGTAGTGAGTGTGGTGGAAGAAGAAATAAGGCGGTATTATGTGCCGACTGAGTAATCTCTCAATAAAAGTTATTTTCTTTGCAGGATGGGGGCAGAATATAAGAGCTCATTTTAATTGATCATTTACTATGTTTCAGGCCTAAGACGCTTCCATGCAACGTCACACCTCTTTTTTTCTTTCTTTTTTTTTTTTTTTTGAGACAGAGGCTCGTTCTGTCACCCAGGCTGGGGTATAGTGGTACGATCTTGGCTCGCTGCAACCTCCGCCTCTCGGGTTCAAGCAATTCTCCTGTCTCAGCCTCCCGAACAGCTGGGACTACAGATGCACGCCACCATGCCTGGCTAATTTTTGTATTTTTTTAGTAGAGATGGGGTTTCACCATATTGATCAGGCTGGTCTTGAACTCCTGACTTCAGGTGATCTGCCTGGCTTGACCTCCCAAAGTTCTGGGATGACAGACGTGAGCCACCGTGCCCAGCCACAACCTCATACCTCTTTATGGGTGAAGAAACCAAAGTTGGCAGAGAGAGCAATTGGCTTGAGTCTTGCAGCCAGGACCAGCAAAGCCAGGAATTACACTCTAGTCCTTCTGACACCAAAGCTTGTGCTATTAACTCTCTGTTATCCATACCACCACCTCCCTAAGAAGGAGAAGCAATGCTGGAATTCTCCATTTCCCAGACGCTTCTAGTTTTTGAAGGAAGCCATATGTAGTGTCGTCTCAACAGGTATGGGGAAAAGTCCAGGAATGGAAACCTGGATTTAAACATGCATATCGACTATTGATCTGATCAACATTATAGTATAACTTCACTGGGAGGATGAGTCATAGAAAGGGTTTGTAAAAGGCATGGAGGCAGGTGGAAAAGAAAACCAAGTCCTCATTTTCCATAGTGGTAAGTCTTAAACCTGAAAAATCAAATAGTAACAATTTAGGTAACACACCTAAATTTACACACAAGGAAGAAAGTTCCAAAAGAATCAGCCAAGGGGCTGAGGTGGAGGATCACTTGAGCCCAGGAGTTTGGAAACAGCCTGGGGAACATAATTTGTCTCTCCAAATAGTTTTTTAAAGTTAACCAGGCATGGTGGCATGTGCCTATAGTTCCAGCTACTCGGGAGGCGGAGGTGGGAGGATGCTTGAGCCCAGGAGGTCGAGGCTTAGTGATCTATGATCATGAGCTATCATTGATCTATGATCAATGAACTATGATCACACTACTGCACTCCAGCCTGAGTGATGGAGTGACTCAAAAAATAGTGACTCTTGACTCAAAAAAAAAAAAAAAAAAGTCTGTGATGTGAAGTAACTTAAAAGAAAGAAAGAAAGAAAGAAACCCTTTCTCCATGCCACCCTCTCAAAAAAAAAAAAAAAAAAAAAAAAACCTTTTCGCCAGGGGTTTCTCTAATGTCATACTTCATGCACTCCTGAGAAGTAAGCAGAGCAGATTTTATCATCCCTACCTTACAGAGGAGAAAACAGAGGCTGAATTGGCATCCCAAGTTCAGGCAGCATAGCACAGGCCCCGCAGGCAGCATAGCACAGGCCCCGCAGGCAGCATAGCACAGGCCCCGCAGTAGCACAGCATAGCACAGGCCCCGCAGGTAGCATAGCACAGGCCCCGCAGGTAGCATAGCACAGGCCCTGCAGGCAGCATAGCACAGGCCCCGCAGGGGCAGGCTGTACTAGAATCCACAGCAAGTACTAGAAGAATTCATGTGAAATGCTTCATAAATGCTTCTAAGGCGCATAACTGTAAAACAGATCCTTGCGGCAGTGTTTATTGGCAGCATTACATGATTACATGAGTGTTAAAAGGGATGCTTGAATTATCACACCTGGCGCCACCTTCTGTTGTAAACGAGAACTGAGGGACAGGTGACACTCTCCAGGGTCACGTGGTAAGGCAAAAGCAGAACTGCCCTTTTCCTATCATTGTGATTCTACATACACCCCCTGGGCAATGTCAGCCACTGCTGCTGTACCATTTTCCATCTGGGTGAAAAATCTCAGATCTTTATCCATTCCAGACCTGTCTGCATTCTTGGTGTGTTACGTTCTCTTCACGGCAGCTGGTAACCCTTTAAAAATTCAATCAGATCACGTTACTTTCGTGCTCCAAGCCCTTCTGTGGTTTCCACTGTACCTGGAATTACAATCTAAATACCTTGTCATGGCTGTGATCACGCCCCTGTCTGTCTTTTTCTGCGATGCAGGAAGTTTGTTCCTTCCTTAGGACTTTTGCATTCATTCTTTCTTCTGCATCCACCAGAGGCCTACACGGCTCCTTCCTTCACTCCACTCAGCCATCCTGCCTAAACTTCACCCTGTACTCTGAGTTATTTTCTTTCTTTTTAAAATTATACTTTAAGTTCTAGGGTACATGTGCACAACATGCAGGCTCATTACATAGGTGTACATGTGCCCTGCTGGCCCACTGCACCCATCAACCCGTCATTTACATTAGGTATTTTTCCCAATGCTATTCCTCCCTCCATGAATTCTTTTCTTCATAGCAGTTATCACCACCTGAAACTTACCTCACTCAATTATTATTCTCTCCAGCTGAAATGTCAGCTCCAGGAGGGTGGGGAGCTTGTGTGCTGCCTTCACTCCTGTCACACAGTACCTAGAATAGTGCCCAGCACATACAGTCGGCACTCAGTCACAGCATGGCTGTTGAGTCCTTCCTGAGTGCAGGCACTATTCCAAAGTCTATACATGTATTAACCTCCCCTCCCTCAGTAACAACCAAAGAGGTAGGAGCTGTTATTACCAACCCTGTTTTACAGATGCATCAATAATGATAGAGAAGTGAAATGACTTGCCCACACAACCAGTAAATTGGCAGAGTCAGGTTTGAATCCATGGAGTCTGGTCTGCACTTTCAATCACCAAATACCCTTTCTGAGAAACGTGTGCTGAACAAGTGCACGGATAAATCAGTGTCTACTCAACATCTGTGCCTAGATATCCCACAGAGTTGGGGTTTGGCTATGTTGGTCACGCTGGTCTGGAACTCCTGGCCTCAAGGGATCCACCTGCCTCGGCCTCCCAAAGTGCTAGGATTACAGGCATGAGCCACCACATCAAGTTTTTTCCCCTATTTTACAGAGAAATAAACTGGCTCAGAAAAGTGAAGTGACTTGCTTATGGTCACACAGTAATATCTACTAAATAGTCACATAGTAATAGCTACCAAAGCCTAACCCCTCTAATTAGTACAAGTTCTTTTCCATTACACTGTTATAAACTTATTCATTATTATTACTAATGAATATTATTGCTATTACTTTTATCATCCAAGCACTATTTATCGAGAAGTTATTCTGCCAGGTACTTGTACAATGAATTTCACAAATATCATAGCATTTAATTATCACTATGATTATATGAGATCAACATGAGAAAAAAGCAGAGGCTGACTCACGCCTGTAATCCCAGCACTTTGGGAGCCCAAAGCAGACAGATCACCTGAACCTGAGGTCAGGAGGTCGAGATCAGCCTGACCAACATGGTAAAATTCCGTCTCTACTAAAAATACAAAAATTAGCCAGGCATGGTGGCATGCACCTGTAATCCTAGCTACTTGGGAGACTGAGGCATGAGAATCGCTTGAACCCAGGAGGTGGAGGTGGCAGTGAGTCAAGATCGCACCATTGCACCCCAGCCTGGGTGACAGAGCAAGACCCTGTCAAGAAAGAAAGAAAGAGAGAGAGAGAGAGAGAAAGAGAGAGGGAGGGAGGGAGGGAGAAAGAGAGAGAGAGAAAGAAAGAAAGAAAGAAAGAAAGAAAGAAAGAAAGAAAGAAAGAAAGAAAGAAAGAAAGAAAGAAAAGAAAAGAAAGAAAAAAGAAAGAAAGAAAAAGAAAGAAAGAAAGAAAAGCAAGGAAGCAGGCAAGAAGGAAGGAAGGGAGGGAAAGAAAGAGAAAGAAGGGAAGGAAGGTAGAAAAGAGGAAGAAAGGAAAGAAAAGAAAAGAGCAGACCTGACTTCCAGGAGCTGTCCTGACATTCAGCTGGGCCTTGATGTTCTCCTGCTAAACATGAACAACTTTGCAAAACATCAGTGTCAGACAAGGCCATGCTTTGCCCATGACAGATCAAAACCAAAACTGCCTAAACTATAATCATGTTTGAACACAGACAAAACATGAGCAAGCCACAAAAATAACCAAGCAGCCCTCTCCCCTGGCTAATATGAACATTGGCTGCTTCTTTACCAACTGCTGCTCTTCTTACAGCTCTAACCTCCATCCAGTCATCCTTTCTTACCGCTAAGATTTATTAAGATACCCAGTCATGGAACTGCTGCACTTCCTGACAGCATCCGATGCAGAGCAAAGCCTATTTCTTTCAACCATCCCCCAAATCAACTAACACAAGCCTGAGTCGTAGAAGTCCTTTCTAACATCCTCTTAATGAGATGTCACTGTGTGATCACCCAGGTCTGCATTCTCCTTCGCCGTAGTGAGTAATAAACGCACATTGTTCGACTTCTAGTTCAGCTAGAAAGAGGGGTATTCCTAGTGGTCTCTGGCTGGAGATATTGACAGGTATTGTCATCATCCATATTTTATCAATAAGAAAACTGAAGTTCAGAGAAGTTGAGAAATGTATGCAAGACCGCAAGGCAGTGAGTGAGAACTAGTTCTATCTAACGCCGAGTCTACGTCCTCACTTGTTTAACAATCCCTGCTCTTCCAGCACTCTGTGCCTCAGTTTTCTCATCTGCAGCGAGGCAGTTAGACTTTGCTCTCCAAAGGTCGCTCCAGCCCCCATCTTCTTGGAGGCAGGTGTGTGAATGCATTGTCAAAGGGGCTCCACCTAGAGGAGCTGGAGAGAACCTCTCTCGTTGGGAACCCACTGGATTCCAAACAGATTGTTCCCATGATGCCTTGCAGCTGGGAGGTCTAATAATGAACTTGAAGAGTGGTGCATCCTCAGAAATACCTTCATGAGCCTTGGACCCTTGCCCACCACCTACCTCCTACCCCCTCCTCTCAGCCATCCTCTTTTCTATTTCTGAATTACCGTTGCCACCGCTCTTGCTTAACTGGGGGAGGCAAGGCGGGGGGGGGTGACTCAGGAGCTCTTACCCTACTGAGCACCCTCCTCTTCCTACAGTTGCCTCTCTCCCCATCCCCAGTGAGGGGCACCTCACAAGGGGAGGCTACCATCTGGCAGCCTCTGCAGAAATCTTAGGGAGCTTTAAAAAGAGAGATTCCCTTAACTATGAATCCTAAGAGTCTGAAAGCTTGTGGAGAGGACTTAGCAAAATGTTGCACAAGAACCGAAAATACACTTTGTGGGAGGTGGAAGTACTTTGATTACCATTTCTCAGTCTCTGCAGAACTGTCTTAGTACAAAGACAGCTGACCTGGTTAGTGGGCTTCTTGGGAGTAGTCAGGACCCATGTGGAAATGCAGGGCCAGGGGCAAAGGGGACACATATTTGTCTTTTTTTCTTTTTTTGAGACAGGGTTTTAGTCTGTCGCTCAGGCTTGAGTACAGTGGCACAATCACGGCTCACTGCAGTCGTCACCTCCCGGAATCAGGTGATCCTCCTACCTCAGCCTCTGAGTAGCTGGGACTACAGGTGCATGGCCACCAGGCCCAGCTGATTTTTGTAGTTTTTGTAGAGATAGGGTTTCAACATGTTGCCCAGGCTGCTCTTGAACTCCTGGGTTCCAGCAATCCACCCACCTCAGTGCTGGGATTATAGGCGTGAACCACCACGCCTGGCCCATATACTGGTGTAATGGGAAACAAGAGTGCTCTTCTAATAATGAGTGCTGTCAGCTGGAACCTGCTGCCAAGAAGAGGTGAGCTTCCCATTGGAGAAAGTATGAAAGCTAAGCCTGATTAATGAGCTGACTTCTATGAAATTCTGGGTTTTCATTATTCAGAAGCCTTTCCCAACTTTTCTTTTTCCAGCACCAAATCCCTCTCTCATCCCAACATGCACACACCTGTGTCACTCCCCACCATGGGTCTGTTTCTTAGAGGTAAGAAAGGTAGTGGGTTCTCTCCTGATGAGCTGTGTGGAGCAGAGGGTAGCAGGAAACTCAGGCCACAGGGGAGAAGGGCACAGTTCTCATGCAAATGAGGTGGTTCCCCCATCTCTCCTAGGTAACTCCTCTTCCCCTTCGCCCTACCAAGGGCACTCCAGGTTCACCTATATTCAGGGTTGGGTGAACTTTGAGGAATAAATTGGGGTATCCTATGATGCAGAACAGCTATTGGAAACCAATACAAATACTCCTTTTGGAGAGGTGGGAGGTAAAGGAAATTAGAATCCTTTTTCTAATGTCCACATCTTTGCCATGATCAAAAGCTTATGTTTTCCTCTTTCTTTCTACCTGATAAAATTCAGTTCATCCTTCAGACTCCAAGATGAGCACTGCCTCCTCTGCGACGCCAGCCTTGACCTCTTCAGGTGAGATTAAGGGCCTCCACCTGGGCTCCCTCTGCCTTTGTGCTGCTGAAACTATTCCTCTGCCTCCCCGTTCTGGTCCAGCCAACTCCTAAGTGAGGTGCACTGTGGTACAGAAAGAAAATATTTAGAAACTTCAGTTTATTCATTTCTAGCCTACACCTTATGAAAATTTATATTATTGAATACCTATAGTGTACATATTAGTACAACAATATGCATATACTTATAAATATGGGAACTGCACACTCAAAAACTTTGTACTGGGCCAGGCATGGTGGCTCACGTCTGTAATCCCAGAACTTTGGGAGGCCAAGGCGAGCAGATTACTTGATGTTAGGAGTTCAAGACCAGCCTCGCCAACAGGGTGAAACCCTATCTCTACTAAAAATACAAAAATTAGCCAGGTGGACACCTGTAATCCCAGCTACTCGGGAGACTGGGCAGGAGAATCGCTTGAACCTGGGAGACGGAGGTTGCAGTGAGCTGAGATCATACCACTGCACTCCAGCCTGGGTGACAGAGTGAGACCCTGTCTCCAAAACAAAACAAAACAAAACAAAACAAAGCAAAAACCTTTTACTGATATGGGTGGTGTGAGGGATCAAACAAATTTGGAGGCTACCGTTTTGGTAATTACTGTTTTCCAGGTGCCTATCGCAAAACAGGTGCTTAATATTGGGAGTGAGCCCTGATGTGGTGGCTCATGCCTATAATCCCAGCGCTTTGGGAGGCCAAGGCCAGAGGATTGCTTGAGGCCAGGAGTTCCAAACCAGCCTGAACAGGATGAAGAGACCCTGTTTCTACAAAAAAGTTAAAAAGTTAACTGAGCATGGTGGCACACACCTGTAGTTCCAGCTACTGGGGAAGCTGAGACAGGAGGATCACTTAAGGCCGGGAGTTCAAGGTTACAGTGAGCAATGATTACACCACTGCATTCCAGCCTGGGTGACAGAGCAAGACCCAGTCTCTAAAAACATATATATCATGTATATATGTGCACATATATGTATATAATTATACTGTTCCCTACTGGAAAATGAGTGACCCGATATCACTTACAAACGCTAGTGATACATATATATGTGTGTGTATATATGCACATATATGTATATAATTATATACATGTGTATATGTATGTATAATTATGTTATATACATATTTATATAATTATATATACACATGTGCATATACACACATGTGTATATGTAATTATATATTAATATAAATATGTATAAATATGTAAAATACATATATAAATATTTGTTATATACATGTCTGTTTTATATATGTATATAGTTATATACACACATGAGAGTGAATGAACAAGTGAATGAGGCTGCCTGGGTTGTCTGTTATAATGATCATATATGTTAGCTGGGTGACATTGGGCAAGATACTTCTCTTTCTTAGGTCTGAATTCCTCATCTGTGAAATTAGGAAGTTGGATCAGATTCCCTCCCAAATGCCGTCCAGCACAAGTGTTTCTAACTGATGTCCAGGTCACTCATTTTCCAGTAGGGGGCAGTATCATTTAGTCACTAATAATCATAGTTAATGTTTAAGTTGCAGTCATTACATGGTCCAAGGGCTCAGCATGTGTTAATTCACTTAGCTTCACAACAACCCCGCACAGGGAGAAGACAGGTACAGAGTACACATACAAGTTAAATCACTTGTTCAAAGCCACATACAGAGTGTGACAGAAGATATGTGCCCTACCCTTACCCCGGACCTGACACCTTCGGTGCCGCCAGCTGATTTCCAAATGCTAGTGTCTGCATCTCTCTGCCTGAGGGCTGCCTTGGAAGCCACACAAGGAGGGCCCAGGCCCAAATCAGCCGGAAACCCTCAGTCCATACGGAGACTGGTGCCCGAATAGCTCCACTGGTGCGTAAACACTTCCTCTCCTAGGGAAAGGGGGCAATAGCTGCTGTGAGGAATTGTCTGGCCCTGCCCCCAGCATTCCCGATGGGATTAAGCTCAGTCACAAACAGTGATGAGGGGCTTGATGCCTCACCCTTTCTCATCCCCATGCCCACCTTGCCTAATAAGCTGCTTCTTAGATCCCCAAATTCCCAAATTAAGACAAACCCAGAATTTGGACTCTTGTAGCCTGGCTGGAAAGTCTGGGCTCTTAATTTACACAATCTTCCTCCCAAAGGATGAAGCCTTTGGGTCTGTTGCGTATGCCCGGGTTCTGCCATTTATCTGCTGTTATGGGTTGAACTGTGTCCTCCCAAAAAAGCTAGTGGAGTGGTAACCCCCAGGTCCCTCCGAATGTGACCTTATTTGGAGATGGGCTCTTTACAGAGGTAATCAAGTTAAGATGAGGTCATCAGCATGGGCCCTAATCCAATACGACTGGTGTCTTTAAAAAGGGGACAGACAGGAGAACACTATGTGAAGATTGGATTTACGTGACCACAAGTCAAGGAACTTCCAGAAGCCAGGAAAGAGGCCTGGAACAGATCCTTCCCCAGCTTCTTCAGAGGGAATGCAGCCCTGTGGGCACCCTGATCTCACACTTCTGGCCTCCAGAATTTAAGAGAGTAAATTCCAGTTGTCTAAACCAGTCAGTCTGTGGTCCTTTTTTCTAGTTGCCCCAGGAAAACAACATGCCAGTTACGTGACATCACCATGCCTCCATATCCCCCTCTGTAAACTGGGGACAATAAGGCACCTTCCTTCACAGGATTCTTGGGAATTAAATGAAATAATGCATGCAAAAGGCTAAGCATGGAGCCTGCTACATGGCTAGTGTCCACTAAATGGGTAGTTGTTATTGCTGTAACTGAAATAACAGACCACCACCACCCCACAACACACACACATACACACATATAACTTTAGGGAAGGGGATTTCTTGGATAAGCAGACAATTGACCCTCATGCTCCTTCCCTTTTCCTTCAGAGGGTCCAGGAGAACAACCTACCCGTAAATCTGACCTGGCCCAAAAGTTTAAAAAAAAAAAAAAAAGCTTTAATGTTGAAACATCACTCAGGTTTTTGTGTTAAGAGGTAGGTGTTCTTTGGGAGGCTGAGGCGGGCAGATCATGAGGTCAGGAGATCGAGACCATCCTGGCTAACACGGTGAAAGCCCATCTCTACTAAAAATACAAAAAAATTAGCCGGGCATGGTGGCGGGCACCTGTAGTCCCGGCTACTCGGGAGGCTGAGGTAGGAAAATGGCGTGAACCTGGGAGGCGGAGCTTGCAATGAGCTGAGATTGTACCACTGCACTCCAGCCTGGGCAACAGAGCGAGACTCCATCTCAAAGAAAACAAAAAAAAGAGGTAGGCGTTGTAATGGGTTTTCTTCTTACAACTGGTAGAGCCCAGTCTGATGGCAGGAAAAGTGGTGATGATGCTGTTCTGCAAAATATTGGGAAGTATCACCCAATATTAATATTCTTAGTTGCAAACAACAGGATCCAATCCAGTTCGTTTAATTGGAAAATGAATGTATTTAAATATTGTATAAGGCCAGAGAGACAAAGCCTGAACCTACACAGACAAGAAAAAATATCCAATATCACAGGGAGCATGGGGGATTCTTTCATGAAATCCCCCCTGCCACCACCGCTTGGCAGCGCTGATGCTCAGAACCGGACGCCAGAAACTCCACCCCTGCCATCCCCAAAGAACCCAGTGAGGGGGTGGAGGGTAGAGGATGAAGGTGAGGATGCAGTGAGAATGAGGGCTAGGTTCAGAGAGTCCTGGATTCAAACCCTCAGCCTGTCATCCGTCCTGGGCAAAGGCGATGTGCTCATGCCCTCGTTTATTCATTCTTTACACAAATATTTACAGACTGCCTCCTTTGTGCCAGGCACTGTGCTAAGTGCTGGGGATAACGTGATGAAAGAACAAAGGAATGTGGTTTGTGTTCTTGTGGTGCTCAGTTTATCAAATACAGTGCTGAAGCAAGCCCATGGGCACAGGAAGGAGGCAGAGTTCTGCCGTGAAGGAGAGGGTTGAGGAGGAAGCAGAGAAGGTGCTGCACTATTTCAGAAGGCAGCCACAGGCCCTGTCTGGGGCATCCTCAGACATCAGCATCTCAAGGCAGCACAGGTGACAGGCTCTCTGCAAACAGAAAGGAATTTGTTAATTATCATTGCTGAAGCCCTTGACTTGGACACTGTGCACCTGGCAGATCCTAGACCCTCCCAGAAATGACCACCCCTGGTCCTCCCTGCAGTCAAGGCGACAGACAAGAAGGCAGTGAGTTTGCCTTGCCTGGGTGGTGGTGGCTCGGGAGCACTGCGGACTCACTCTGCAGGGTGGCTGCCTCAGTGTTCCCATCTGAAAAAGGGGAACAGGTAGGACGGCTCAGACTATTTCCGAGGTGCTTCTAGCAGTGACCTCCTGCCAAGTGGGCTTTTGGAAAATGTGTTAAGTTTGTGGTTTCACAGGACACATCGCCACTTCCTCCTCGGAAGGCAGCGAGAGCCTCAGCATCAGAGGAGGGACACTGTGCAGGTGCAAGGGGTGTAGGGCCTGTGAACTCTACCTCTTTGCCTCAGATCTTCCCTCCAGACCTGCTCCTCACCTTGCCCCACGCCCTGGGGTCCCGGCTGTCTCCCACAGCAGATCCTGGCTCACTCCTGCTTCTCCAGGAAGTGGTTCTCCTTCCTTCTGCAGAGGCCATACCCAAAGGTCTTGCAGATCCTGGAGCTGGTGTTGAAGAAGGACCTGGGAAGGAAGGCTCCAGGTAGAAGGTAGGTGGCGGGGCTACCTAGACACAGGAGGGTCAACTAAGAGGATGGTCATCACAGAGGTCTATACAGCAAGCAGCAGAAACAACCAGCATGGCCAAGTGCAGTGGCTCACACCTGTAATCTCAGCACTTTGGGAGGCCGAGGTGGGTGGATCACCTGAGGTCAGGAGTTCAAGACCAGCCTGACCAACATGGAGAAATCCCGTCTCTAATAAAAATACAAAAACTAACCAGGTGTGGTGGCATGTGTCTGTAGTCCCAGCTACTCAGGAGGCTGAGGCAGGAGAATTGCTTGAACCTGGGAGGCAGAGTTTGCAGTGAGCTGAGATCATGCTACTGCACCACAGCCTGGGCAACAGATTGAGACTTCATCTCAAAAAGAAAAAAAAAAAAGGTAAAATATCTTGATGAATATTTAAGATTGGAATTTAAGTCTCTGCAATTATTCAATGTCTTCATTCAGCCACAGACTTCTTCACCTCTTTAGTAAACCATCAGGTAAACAGAGGGGGAAAAAAACCTGGTGAAATGAGAAGATTTGCATGGATGTGGAAGGTGTTTTCTTTTTGAAGCTAGAAATCACATTCTGGTAGATGATTAACACTTTAACTTGACCTTGAAGTCCCTGGAATGACTCATATTTAGATCCAAAGCTCTTGGGCTGAGCAGGGTTGGGTTAGGGTGCAGAGAGCAAGGCAGGACTGTGCAGGTGCAAGGTTGGACCCTGTCTTCATTTTAAATGTTTATATTTTGTTCATGGACTTTTAACATTAATTTTAATTTTTTAAACCATTGCATTAGAATGCAATTTATCTTGATGGCTGAGTTTTTTGACTTCTTACATTCTGTGTCCAAGACCTCATTAATCTCACCCTTGTCCTGAGGTAAAGCCCTGTCCCTTGGGGGTGGATGAATGAGCTGGATCTTTTGCTGAGAGCAGATTTGATGGAGACCCAGAAGGAGGGTAACACCAGAGCCCTGAGGAGGGAAGAGTGGGTGCCACAGAGTAGAAATCATTAGGAAAGGGAAGGCTGTGGTTCCTGAGGGCAGCCTCGCCTGCTGCGTAGCCCTACCTGGGGTTGCTACTCTTCCCTCTTCACCTTTTGATGATCCAATCAATGAGTTCCTGTACATTTAGAGCTCTAAAGTAGAATGATTTATCTGTTTTCTTTGAGTTGTACGAGTTGGAAATCTTTACCTGTTTAATGCTTTTTTTATTTTCTAAGTTTTCTATCATGAGCACATATTACTGCATTTAGGTATCAGGAAACAGCAAAGGAAAGACATTTAATTACTTATGTAAAGAACAGAATCATCAGGCCGGGCGCGGTGGCTCAAGCCTGTAATCCCAGCACTTTGGGAGGCCGAGACGGGCGGATCACGAGGTCAGGAGATCGAGACCATCCTGGCTGACACGGTGAAACCCCGTCTCTACTAAAAAATACAAAAAACTAGCCGGGCGAGGTGGCGGGCGCCTGTAGTCCCAGCTACTCGGGAGGCTGAGGCAGGAGAATGGCGTGAACCTGGGAGGCGGAGCTTGCAGTGAGCTGAGATCCGGCCACTGCACTCCAGCCTGGGTGGCAGAGCGAGACTCCGTCTCAAAAAAAAAAAAAAAAAAAAAAAAGAACAGAATCATCTTCAACAGAGCAAAGCATTCTTACCACTCAAGAGACCTGAGACAGACCGAGGGAACAACACATATACGCAGGCCTTCAGTGTTTGCCTGGACTGGTGCAGTAGCCTACTCACTCAGCCACAGACTTCTTTATGTCTCTGTCTCCACCCTTGGTCCCCTACAGGCCACTCTCCACACTGCAGCCAGAGGGATCCTGTGACAATTTGAATCAGATCATGATGTCCCTGTCATTTTCCATCTCTCTTACAAAGCCTAAGTTTTTATACAGTCCTACAAGTCTTGTCCCCATAGCCTCTCTGACCGCATCATCTTCCACTCCCCCACCCCACCACTCAGCCCCAGCCACACTGGCCTCATCGCTGCTGTGCAAACACATCAGGCACAGTCTTCCTGAGGGCTTTGCACTAACGACGTCTTCTTCCTGTATTGCTCTTCTCCCAGCTGGTCACGATGCTCACTTACTTTCTACAGGTTCTGCTCTTTGACAGGTCTACATAAAAGAGCAGCACCTCCTTTACCCCCATTACTCCCTCTCCCCTTCCACTACTTTGTCTTCAAAATGCTTGTCATGACCCACATATTATCTCCTTATTTTTCAATTGCCTGCCTCCCCCAGAGGGTAGGGTCCTTTGCTGTGTTTTCTTTACAGCTATGTGTTCGTGGAGAATGATGCCTTGTAGGTTCTTGGCAAATATTTGTCAAGTGAACTAATCTGCTCAGGCTCACTGGTGCTGGGGATGGTGCTGCAGTCATTGAATAGGATGAGGATAATTAGGTTCCGTGGAAAAAAGTGTATTTGATCATGGTGCACCTCCTTATTAGGAATCGAGTTCTAACATGCTATAAGTGGTCTCAACATGGGAGGTCAGAAGAGGGGATTATTTTTTCCAACTAGGGGATCGAGAGAAGTTTTTCAGGGGTTGGCCCTGGATATGAGCTTTGTAGCACAGTTGGATTGGGACTGGAAGAGAAGAGGGTAGAAAAGTGGACTAAGGGATCGGCACAAGCCAGGTACCTGGCGAGTGGGGAGGACTTATGGCATGATTGTGAAACTGCCTTTGCAAAAATTATAACTGAGGAAATTATGACACTGAAAGAGGTCAGACCTAACCAACTCTATCTTGCTTCTACCCTTTAAGCTGTCCTTGTTCATTCCTGGGCATAGGCAGAACTAACCTTAGGAAGGAATTTAGTTGGTGGTTTGACTGAAACAAAATAGATACTAGCCCTTTCCAAAAAATACCTCCTTCTTACCTGGGGACCAGTCTGCCTTAAGTAGCTACAAAATTAGAAATTACAGTTTAGGAGTCATGCAGCCTCTGACTGCAAGAGTTTGAACCTCCCCAAATTGCTCCTGGTGATACATCACTGTTGTAAAACCTAAGGTCAGTGCTTGATCTATTTTGCAGAACCTGCACCTGATGGATCAGCCGACACCACCCAGACCGGTAATTATTAGGAATCTAGCTCTAACATGCAGCAGTCTCATGCTGTGAGATTCACCCGCCTGAAGACACTCAAAGATCTGGAGAGGATAGTAGTCGAGACATAGGAGAGTAAAGGCCTGGAGTTATTACTAATATCCCAACAGCCTGAGAGAAGCACGCCTTGGCCCTCAAGCAAACCTCCAGCAAACTCTCAGAATACAGAACAAGTTTCTTGCTCTCTGCCTACAGGTGCCTTAGGCAGCTCGGCTGTTCCAGATCCTTCTGATTAATTTTTAGAATGGGGAAATAAAATCATGATTTCTTTTTTTTTTTTTTTTGAGACGGAGTCTTGCTCTGTCACCCAGGCTGGAGTGCAGTGGCCGGATCTCAGCTCACTGCAAGCTCCACCTCCCGGGTTCACGCCATTCTCCTGCCTCAGCCTCCCAAGTAGCTGGGACTACAGACGCCCGCCACCTCGCCCGGCTAGTTTTTTTTTTTGTATTTTTAGTAGAGACGGGGTTTCACCGTGTTAGCCAGGATGGTCTCGATCTCCTGACCTCGTGATCCGCCCGTCTCAGCCTCCCAAAGTGCTGGGATTACAGGCTTGAGCCACCGCGCCCGGCCTAAAATCATGATTTCACATTGGATTTTTTTTTCCTTGGAGGAAGGAGGTAGGTAGACAAAGTCTTTGAGAATAAGACATTTTAGTAAAAAATGAGCAAAGAATCTGTGTGGCAGGCATCCCTACTGCACAGATGAGGAAACTAAGAATGAGTAACTTACTCAAACCACACAGCTAGTAAGTGGTGGAGCCAGGACAAGATACCATTAAGCCATAACTCAATCATTGAAGAATCTGGCTTCTACAGGGAATTCTTTCTTTCTTTTTCTTTTTTTTTTGGAGATGGAGTTTCACTTATGTCGCCTAGGCTGGAGTGCAATGGCACAATCTTGGCTCACTGCAACCTCTGCCTCCTGGGTTCAAGTGATTCTCCTGCCTCAGTCTCCCAAGTAGCTGGGATTACAGACACGCACCACTACATCTGGCTAATTTTTGTATTATTAGTAGAGATGGGGTTTCACCATGTTGGCCAGGGTGTTCTCGAACTCCCGACCTTAGTTGATCCACCCGCTTTGGCCTCCCAAATTGCTGGGATTACAGCTGTGAGCCACTGCACCCGGCCAGAGAATTCTTAAAATACAGATAACTGATAAGGGTCTTGGGGAGGAACTACCCAAACTCATTTCTCCCCTCTTCCTGGGCCTCACCTTAACCACCAAAGAACAGGGATGAGTGAGTCGGGAGAGCTTTTTCCTAATACCGAATACGGGGTATTGTCAGAGGCGTTTGAATCAGAGTGACTCCGTTTTGAATAGGAGCTGGGTCAAATAAGCCTGAGACCTGCTGGGCTGCTTTCCCAGAAAGTTGGGCATTCTAAGTCACAGAATGAGATAGGAGGTCGGCACAAGGTACAGGCCACGAAGACCTTGCTGATAAAATAGGTTGCAGTAAAGAAGCCGGCCAAAACCCACCAAAACCAAGATGGCAACAAAAGTGACCTCTAGTCGTCCTCACTGCTCATGATATGCTGATTATAATGCATTAGCATGCTAAAAGACACTCACACCAGCACCCTGACACTTTACAAATGCAAACATAATGTCAAGAAGTTACCCTATATGATCTAAGAAGGGGAGGAACCCTCAATTCCAGGAACTGCTTACCCCTTTCCTGGAATACTCACGGATAATCCACCCCTTGTTTAGCAAATAATCAAGAAATAATGATAAAAATAGCCAACCAGCAGCCCTCAGGGCTGTTCTGCCTATGGAGTACCCACTCTTTTATTCCTTTACTTTCTTAATAAACTTGCTTTCATTTTACTCTATGGACTCACCCTGAATTATTTTTTGCATGAGGTCCAAGAACTCTCTTTTGGGGTTTAGATTGGGACCTCTTCCCAGTAGCAATATCTTTTCCAACACCAACAAATTCTCCAACACCAACTAGGTGTCCACAAATTAATTCACTTCTGACACTAATTCCTGAGTTAGCACTGTAAACCAAAAGTATCTGAAACAAGTCTCAATTTTGGAGTTTATTTTGCCACGGTTAAGGACGTGCCTGTGGCAGTCTCAGGGGAG